AGTTTATTTGGGTAAAAATATATGTTGTTCTAATATTCAGTTCCAAATTCTAGTCTTTTGAGGAGTTCATTGATTAATGTTTCCTTTTTATAAATGACACTGAAATCAGATATCTATATGTTATTTAGGGAAGTCCCTATTTTTGGTGATTATTAGTAGTATATATGTGAATAATGAGTGATTAGTGATGGGGTTCTTATATATAAAGAGAGATATCTATTGTGATTATAATTTGAGGTGTTTTTGGCTGATGTTTTAGAGACTGGAGACACAGGAAAAGAAGAGATTATTCTATGGAAGGCGGCGTAGAAAGAGGTTTGGGATGCCAGAAGATTATGGATGGGAAGGTGAATGACATTGGTGAAAAGGCAATCCCTTCATGTTGCCTCAAGGCGAGAGCCGCTGCTCCTGAATCTGATGCCAAATGCCATTCAACTGTCGTTTCCGGGTGGTTCACAGAAGCTCGGTCATCCTCTGGTCATTATCCCAATATTTGACTTATACTTTTTCTTTGGATTGAATCGGTTGTGTGATTGTTGGTTGCATCTAATTTGCACAAAGTATTGATTGTTTTGTCCTTTTGGTTTTGTTTATGGCATGTAAAGGCGGGAAGCAGCTTTATTACAATAATCCAATGTGGCCTGGTAAGCATTATCAACGATAAATGGTCTTGATATTGTTTAATTAATTTTTTCTCCATGATTTAATCACTTTGGCTAGGATTCGTTAAATATTTCCTGTTTGTGCTCTTAGCTTTTAGATTTTACTGCTTTTACTCCCTTGACGAATTAACTACATGAAATGACTTAAAAGGTTGGAGCAATGATAATTAGAAGATGAATGCATAGCTATTACAACTAATTGCCTTGTATTATTCTTTTTAGGAGTAGCGCACTCGATTAAAGTGGAGAAGATTTTGTTCCAGGAAAAATCATTGTACCAAGAAGTCCTTGTCTTTGAGGTTAAGCTCTTAATATTGTCTTTTGTGCTAGAGAGTGCTATTTAGAAATCTGTTTAAATTGTCTAACATTTTGATACATGTTAATGCTTGCAGTCAACAAACTATGGGAATGTGCTAGTTCTTGATGGCATTGTTCAGTTAAGTGACAAAGATGAATTTGCATACCAAGAGATGATAGTCCATCTTCCACTTTGTTCTATTGAATCCCCCAAAAATGTGAGTATTTCTTTATTCGTGAGTATTTTTTCATATATGCCTGGATCAGACAGCTATTCTGTATTTATTTATCTATATATGTTATCAGATGTGCTGGGAGATGGATCTTACGGACTATATCACACTCCCTGTTGTTTGTTAATACACTTTAATGTTGGCATATTCATCTCAATTTGATATGCAGACCTAATCTCTGCATAGCTTGCATTGTTGTTTTTGACTTGTTTTGATGTTCATATTGAGTATATAGGTCTCCAAGGAGAGGATTTTTTCAGCTAAAGCATAGACCAGTATGTTTTACCCATCAATCATTTACTGGATGAGTGAGAGTGTGATAGTATGATTGGCAGTGAAAACCCTCCTCACTTCTCATCCCTACTTTTTATCCTACCATTCTTCCTCTTTTGTGGATAAGAACATCTTGCGAAGCACTGTGCTGTGCTCTCTTCTCAATTTTTTTTTATTATCTTTTTTATGTCTGCTTGACTGCTTGTATTTGTTCCATTCGAAGTTCTTGGTGAAATTCTCTGTGGACAACTTTGATAATGTATCAGTTGTCTAAAAGATTGACTCAGTTAGAAGTATGTTTCAATTGGTTCTGCTTATCTCCATCTACGAGTCCCATCCACTGCTCTAAGCTGCACTATAATGTTATCCATCAGTGATGAAATGTTTGTATAAATTGTGTTATTGCACTCTATTTGCAGAAGCTAGTGCTCTGTGAAGTGTGTACGTCTGATAGTATTCTGTTTGACATGGTAATGCAGGTTCTTGTTGTCGGTGGTGGTGATGGCGGAGTTCTCCGTGAGATATCTCGCCATACTTCTGTGGAGCATATAGATATTTGTGAGATTGATGAAATGGTTATAGATGTATGTGTCTTAAATTACTTTTCCTTAGGTATTTTTGTGTGAACTAAAAGATTGAACAGCAATTTTTTTACATCCAGGTTTCTAAGAAATTTTTTCCTGAGTTGGCTCTTGGGTTTGAAGACCCCCGCGTCACTCTTCACGTTGGTGATGGTACGTGTCTTGACTACATACTTTTTAATTTTGTTTTGTGAGCTTTTATTGGTATGTTGATTCATCAAAATTGGAGCCTATTTCCTGACTATGTAACAATTTTTTTTTCTTCTAATTCTCTATTTTCTGGCAGCTGTGGAATTTTTGAAAAATTCACAAAAAGGAAAGTATGATGCCATAGTTGTTGATTCTTCAGATCCTGTAGGTAAGTTGTATAAGTAAATTAATTGGCTTGTGCATTTCTGAGTGGTCATGGGATTGATGCTGGGTGGAGAAAAATAAATATTGTAGTTTTAAAATTTAGAAGTTGATTACTTTAAAAGTTTAAATAAATATTTTTGCTTTAAAATTTACATTTAATATGAGTTATTGCTATTTTAGAGTGGTCATGGGATTGATGCTGGGTGGAGAAAAATATATCACAGTTGATTTTTATCTTATGCTCTGAAGTGATCACTGCATTTCACGCAGGTCCTGCACAAGAACTAGTTGAGAAACCCTTTTTTGAGACATTGGCAAGAGCTTTGAGGCCTGGTGGTGTACTTTGTAACATGGCAGAGAGTATGTGGCTTCATACTCATCTTATTGAGGATATGATATCAATCTGCCGCGAAATTTTCAAGGGTTCTGTTCATTATGCATGGACTAGTGTGCCAACCTATCCAAGGTACATATGACCTAATGCTTGAAGTCTCTGTTTATCTTCATATTAGCTTGGTATGTATGTGCAATCTTATTTCCTGAACAACCTTAGAAGAACAAGTACTAAAGATATCTAATGACTAAAATACTTTGAGTGCTTGAGGCCTTGTTTTCTTTCTTTAGTATTATTTATAAGTTATGCTTATTGTTTATAAAACAAATTGTTATGCATAGTTGCTACACTTCCATGGGTTTACTCACTTCACCGACCTAACTCTGTTAATGACCTATCTGGACCTGAGCACCTGACTGAAGGGGTGGGTTTGCCCCTTACTTCCTTCCCTGTGAATTTGGGTACTCCACCCTTTTCTTGAGCAATCTCCTGAATACCTACACGTACAACTGAATGTAAGCAAAAATGTGAGTCTCTAAGGCTCCATATGCTATGATTTATTTGGGATCTCAATTTTTAATTTTTTCTTTCTTTTCTTAAACTTCTCCTTTCTGGACCTAATCCGATTCCACAGAATTGTTAAATCCATCTCCATAGTCAATTATTTAGTTCAACTTTTTCTTCCCCCCAATTTCTTTTCTGGAACTAATTCTATTCCTCCAAATTGTTTTCCTACTATCAAACCATGGCATAAACATCAGCAAGTTAATTGAGCAAAGAAGTGTTTGTAAATTTGGCCTATTCATTGCTGAAAATTTGCTGAAAATTGAGTGACAAGTAAGAGAGTGATAAGAAGAGTGAAGACTGAGGAGGAAAAGAGGAAGGAGATGGAGGGGAAGTAGTCTTACAAGCTAGAAAGATTTCTATAATTATAAGAAGAAAAATTATAAAAAGTTGATATTGTGGAAGTATTTTATGAGACCTAACAAGATCCCACGTGACTATATTTTGATTAACGTATAAATTATATTATATGGTCAAGGAAGAGTGATGAATAGCGCAAAACTAAAAACTCCAATTGTTGCAATATTATTGGAGAACATAGATTATTGATCTCCTGTTTCATCTGTTCTTTTTTGCATTAAAATTTTGGATCACTAAAATTTTGTTTCATCAATTGCAAATTTGACACGGGTATCCAAAACTCATTTTATTGACTGAATGATTTTGTTTCATTTTCAGTGGTGTTATTGGATTTATACTTTGTTCAACAGAGGGCCCACCAGTTGATTTTTTGAATCCAATAAACCCTATTGAGAAGATCGAAGGAGCAGCCAAGCATCGAAGAGAACTCAGATTTTATAATTCTGAGGTAAGGATATGCTATCCATACTAGTCTTGTAGCATACTATTGCTACAGTATTAATTTTGGAGAATAATACTCTATTTGCCTTTGGTCTTGAGAATTGAATAAATATTTCTTCACTATAAATGTTTCCATCCCCCTTCTTTTAAGTTAGCTATGTTCTTTGTTGTGCTTCATTTGTTAGCTTTAAGTCATACAGCAGCACGCACATCGCCACCCTGCTGATTCTCCTCGCAGTAGTTATGTTCTTTACTCTCCAAAATAACTGATCAACTTGCTATCAGACATTTATGTGTCAAGAAGTGTAAAGTAGAGGGTTTTCACTTGGTCTTACCTCGTCTATTATTTGTATTATTGTTTTGCTTCCACTGGAGAGCTTCTGGAACTTAAAAGCATGGTGTACTTTATTTAACTTGGAATTATGCTTATAAGTGCAGGTTCACACTGCTGCCTTCTCCCTGCCGTCATTTCTGAAGCGGGAGGTCAGTTCTCTTCGTGATTCTTCATCAACCAAGGGGCTCGTTTTTCCTAAATAGACAATGCAGTGCACCTCAAATATTTCCTATGACAAGATTCAAGTATTATTCGAGTATATATGTGTTCTTCGTATCGTGATATATCGATGTTTTTAAGATCACATGGATGATACGTTGTTCGTAGCTAATTTCTATTGATATCAAGAATAGGGTTTGATTCTATCAAATTGGAATCTATTGAACAAGAATTGACAAAGTAATACTAAGAATAAATAGGCCCCCCTAAAGTGCTAATATCATCTATTTTGATCATTTTGTTGTATATCCATCAGTTGATTGTCAACCTATTCCGCCCATTTCTTCTCAGATGGACAATTTCTGGCCAAATGATAAACTTCAAGCTTCAAGAACGTACTACACCGTCTACACGCGTGTTAGTGTGTACGTACCTTATCGGCTTGGTTTCTAATTTACGGCTCAATTTAACCCCCTTCCCCCAGCCAAACACCCTCACCCCTTCTCTTTTACGGTTTTACCAGTAACATCACTCGTAGTTTGACAAATTGAATAGTAGTAATTGTAAACTCATTTTGAGTAATTTTATTTAACTAATGCTATAATTACATTTATGCATTTGTATTAGCTTACGTAAATGTTTTTAAAATAATTATCAAGTTTTGCCAAAGTTTTGAAAAATAAAAGCGTCCTTGACCACCAAATTTAAAACTAATCGTCTATAAATTCAAACTCGAAATTATCCAATCCAATCCGAATTAACCACATGTCCACATCAATATAATTTACCAGTACAATACATAAGCCATTATTGGGTGCTCTTATTTGCGCGCGAATATCTGCAATTAAGAACACCGGCTATTATAAGAATGAACTGAAGCAAGGTAGTGACAATGACTCGTCGTCTTTTCTCTGTTCCTCGTACTTTCTCAACTCAATCCGTACAATTCCTGGGGCCCACGTCGCCGGAATCTTATCTTTTACGGTGCAACAAAAGAATCCGAGATCTAAGCAAACTTGGTAAAATTGATGATGCCCGCCAAGTGTTCGACAAAATGTCTCACAGAGATTCTGTTAGTTGGGACACTATGATTTCTGGGTATTCCCGAAACAACCGGATTATGGATGCTCAGGTGCTTTTTGACGCATTTTCTGGAAGAAATGTGAGAACTTGGACTGCAATGTTAGCTGGGTATGCTAAAGTTGGTCGACTTGAGGAGGCTAGGAGAGTGTTTAATTCTATGCCGGAGAAGAATGTCATTACTTGGAATGCTTTGATTACTGGGTATGTGCAGAATGGGGATTTGGTTTATGCCAAGAAGTTGTTTGATGACATGCCTCGGAGAAATATTGCTTCTTGGAACACTATGATTACTGGGTATTGTCATGGTGGTATGATGAGGGAAGCAAGGGAGCTTTTCGAGCAAATGCCGGAGAAGAATCTGGTTTCTTGGATGGTAATGTTATCTGGGTATGTTGAGATTAATAGTTTTGTGGAAGCTTGGAATGTATTTGGGAGGATTCACCGTACTGGTTCGATGCCCGATCAGCCCATGTATGTTGTTGCTTTATCAGCTGTAATTGGTTTGGAGGCTTTGGATTTAGTTGATAGCTTGCTGAGCATTGTGATAAAAACTGGGTATGAGGAGGATGTAGTTATTGGCACTGCAATTTTAAATGCCTATTCAAGATGTGGGAGGTTGGACATGGCAGTTGACTTCTTCAGTAGAATGCCACAAAAGAACGAATACTCATGGACAACAATGATCACTGCATTTTCTCAGTGTGGAAGATTGGATGATGCGATTGCATTCTATAAGAGGATTCCTGAACCAACCGTTTTTTCACAAACTGCTATGATGACTGCATATACTCAGAATGGAAGAATCATGGATGCTGAAGCCTTATTCAAAGAAATTCAGAATCCAAACATAATAACATGGAATGCTATGATCGCAGGGTATTCCCAAAATGGAATGATTGATGAGGCAAAAGATGTATTTATGCGAATGCCAACTAGGAACTCAGCCTCTTGGGCAGCCATGATCTCTGGACTTGCACAAAATGAAAGATGTGAAGATGCTCTTCATATGTTTACAGGGTTCCATAGTTTAGGAAACTTTCCCACTGATTCTTGTTTCACTAGCTGTATATATGCCAGTGCTAGCCTTGGAGCAATTGAAACAGGAAAACAAATGCATGCCCTGGCAATCAAAAGGTGCTGTCAGCATAATTCCTTTGTTGCAAATGCATTGATCTCTATGTATTCCCAGTGCAAGAATATAGAAGATGTTTCTCAAGTATTTAGTACAATGGGAGTGAAGGACATTACTGCCTGGAATTCTCTGGTAACTGGGTTATCACACAATGACATGCTTAAAAAAGCTCGTGACACCTTTGAAAAAATGCCTGAACACGATGTTGTGTCTTGGACTGCTATAGTGTCGGCTTATGTGCAAGCTGGTGATGTTGATGCAGCCCTGCATTTGTTTGGTGACATGTTGGCTAGACAGTTGAGACCTAATGAGTTAACAGTTACAAGTATTCTAAGTGCTTGTGGAAGTGCTGGTGCCATGAAGCTTGGGGAGCAGATTCATGGATTCCTCAGCAAGCTTGGGTTTGACTCATGCCTATTTGTTAATAATGCTTTGATAACTATGTATTTCAAATTCGGAAGTGAGAGTGGATTTTCTATTTTTGAGGACATGGCTGAGAGAGATCTAATCACATGGAATGCGGTTTTGGCAGGCTGTGCGCACAATGGTCTGGGTAAAGTAGCCATAAGATATTTCAGGAGGATGGAAGCTGAAGGGGTTTTGCCAGATCAGATTAGTTTTCTGGGTATATTATGTGCATGTAGCCGTGCAGGGCTATTAGCAGAAGGAAGGGCCTATTTGAATTCCATGTGCAAAGATTATGGGATCAAGCCATTGGTGTACCATTATACTTGTGTGGTTGATCTTCTCGGTCGGGCTGGTCTACTTTCTGAAGCTGAGGCATTAGTTGAAAGTATGCCTATTGAACCTGATTCTGTAATTTTGGAGGCCCTTCTTGGTGCATGTAGGATCCATTGCAACATTGAACTTGCTGAGAGAGTTGCCAAAAGGCTCTTCCATATGGATACAATTAAATCAGGGACATATGTGCTGTTGTCTAATTTGTATGCCTCTCACAGTAGATGGGATAAAGTGGAAGAAATAAGAGAGCTGATGAAAACTCGGGGAATGTCTAAAGAACCAGCAACCAGCTGGATTCACATCAAGAATAAGCTTTATACTTTCCATACAGCTGATAAGGGGCATGATTCAGTGGAACAGATTCACACACTCTTAGAGGAATATTATGGACGTTTGAAGCTGACAGGGTATGTGCCCAAAACAGAATTCGTTCTTCATGATGTGGAGGAGGAGCAAAAACATAATCAGCTCCTTTACCACAGTGAGAAACTTGCTCTGGCCTTTGGGATTCTGAACACACCTGAGAGATCATCTATATTGATTTTGAAGAACCTTCGTATTTGTGGTGACTGTCACACTTTTATGAAGTTCATGTCCAAAGTCACTCAAAGAAAGATCGTTATTCGAGATAGAAAGAGATTCCATCATTTTGAAGATGGTGCATGTACTTGTGGTGATTACTGGTGAGACATTTATAACAATTTGATAGCATCAAACTATCTATGCTCACTAGTTCGTAGAGGCTGATGTGTCAGAATAACATCAGTTATGAAGGTAACTCATTCTCACTTTCAAGTTTGTCATTTGCAAATCGGAACTATTGAAATTGTAAATGAACTGCAATGATTAGTGTGGACTTCTTAATCACAACTGAAATATGTGTTTCTGTCTTCCATCAGCTAGTGAAGCCAAGTGGAAATAGTGAAGTGAATATATAGCTACTGCTACTTCTGTGTTTTGCATTATTTGACCATTTCTTCCTATATGCTTGCAGCAGATTGTTCTTTTTACCGGGAGAGGAGTCGGTTTATATAGTACATGATCTAAATGAAATGTTTATCTTCTCTTGAGAAACTGATCTTCCTAAGTCCTAACACTAGTATTGCAATAGACAGTAGTTGGGATAAAACAGATTCTTATGTCATACATGCTCTGTGTATCTATATGATGATTGAGAAAACATCATAAAACTTGTTGAGTGTTTTATGTTGTCTGCATGATAACCTTGACTTTCCTGCATTACATAAATTTAGTTTTGAACTGTTGTCTGAGGATAATCTGAATCATGTATCAATTGTCTTGTACTATTCACTTTTATATCCTTCAACTAATTTAATTTTATCTCTCAGAAATTAGCATAATATCTACTATTCATCATTCTAGTAATTGTTTAGAGTTTCTATTGTGGCGCTCTACTTGCAGATGCTACGGATTCTCTGTGCGTATATTGATAATTGTTCTTGTTGTCTTGGTACTGCAGGTTCTTTTAATAGCCTAACTGGAGGAGGTGACAGAGAAATTCTCTGGGAATTTTCTCACCATGCCTTTGTGAAGCACATAAACATTTTTTGTGAGGCTAATAAATGGTTGTATATGTAAGTGACTTATATTGCTTTCTTAGAGTCTTGCCTTAATTTTGCGATTTTTGGAATATTGAACAGCAATTGCTTTCTTTAGTTTCTTATATCCAGGTCTCTGATAAAAACTATTTTTCCTGAGTTGGCTGTTGGTTTTGAATATCCCCGTGCCAATCCTCACTCACATTGATGATGGTATGTTTCTTGACTGGTTGTTTTTAATTTTTTAATTTTTTTAATTTTTTTTTTATTTTTTATTTTTTTTGACTTGTGAGCTACTATTGATGCTGATGATTTATCAATATTGAAGAATTAGCTACTTTTTCCCTGTACTTTTAATTGTTGGCAGCTGTAGAGTTCCTGAAGAATGCACCCAAAGGGAATTGTGATGCCATACATATCTACATTATCAGTCCTGCAGGTATGTTGTGCAAGTAAAATGATTCACACTTGCTTTTCTTAGTTGATGACTGATGTATACAGAGGAAATCTGTAGCTGATGAGTGCTTTATGTTCTGTGATTTATGCCATTTTTCATACAGGCAAGGCCAAAGAACTTGCTGAGAGACCTTTAATTGAGAGTTGGCAATGGCAAGAGCAGAGTGTGCACTGGCTTCATACCCATGTAAATGAGGATCTGATATCTGTATGCCTTTCATGTGTTCGACTCATTATGGACCGACTAGCTACCATGCCTACCAATTCAAGCCTTCAAGGTAATATGCACCAATGCTCGGAGCCTCTGTTTGTCTTTGAATCTGCATTGCATGTTTCTGTCCTGCATTCTTGTTTTCCTAAACAATCTCAAAAGAAGTAAGAAGCTGAATGAAGTATGGTACTTTAGATACTTTTGCCTCCTCACACCCTCAAACTTCATGTACTGTATTTTTATTTATAATAAACATTGACTGTTGATTTCCTGATTTATCTATCTTCATGAAACTTGGGCTTGTTAAGATTTTGCAGTAGAACAGTACAATAGTTCTTTTTATATTTTCTTTCCCTAAACAACATTTAAAGTTCATTTTACTCGAGTTTATGTTGACTGTTACTATCTGACTATTTTTATTCTGTTGCTTTGACAGTGGAATTTAAATTGTTAAACCAGGTAGACCTCAAGATGATTTTTGAATTTGAATCCAATCAACCCTTTCTAGAAGGTACAGAAGGCACGGCTCGGCATCAAAGACATACGGAGTACTTGATTTTGTAGCTCTGTCATATGATGAATGAATAAATTTTGTAAAAACTGTTGCACTATTGGATTATTTACATAGTATGAGATTTTTTTTATCAAGGAAACTTCATTTCATTGTCGGAACCTTTTGTGTCCTCTCTTGTGAAAACCTGTATTGGGAATCTACCCACAATGCTAGTCACAATAATTAAAAACAATTACAGTACGAAAGATGATAATTCCATATTTTGATAAGTACACATTATGATAAGTACACATTAATACAGATTTAATAACATTTTATTAGATATCTTTGTGTAACTGATCTTCCCATATTTAAGGAACTAGAAGATCCTAATAGTCTCCATGGCTTGCACTGAACAAAGACAAAATATAACTGAGTCCACATTCTAAATGGACACTATAGATAAAGTACCGCGATTTGCAGTCCAACTCTGTTGCCACCCCTTTTATTAGCACTGAACTAACAGGTTAATGGTAAAAATGTCCATGAGGTAGCATTACAACGAGCATTGGTAGAACAATCATTGTGAACTTGCAACTCCTCCTAACACAATCCAACTCTTATGTCACCACCCCAATAATAAAGTTCAATAGTAGCAAGACTACAACTAATTCAACTGGTCAGTATGTCATTAATCACAGTAGTTAGTTCCATGAGAAGCAGATTAGCACAATATATACAAATTCATTAGCCATACCTTTCTCTGTTTGCTAACAAAAACACTGACGTAGATTAAATACAGATATACAATATGCACAGATTAGCTCAACCAATGTGTTAGAATTGGTCCTAACATCAATACACCATTTTACACAACAACGCAAACTAACTAGTATGGACTCCCTTCCCTCCAGCTCCATTTTCCTACTGATCTTCGACTGAGAAATCTGGCTCTGTTGGCTTCTGAAGTAGCATGGGTGATATTCTCTCAGGCAACCTTGCTTTGCGTGCCCCATTTTTCCGTAAAGCACGAAGCGCATTTGCAGCAAACCTTGAGGCATAAATTGTAGCACCCAAACTCGGTGAAGAGCTACCGGCTTCCCTTGCCAATGCATCTTGTAACCGATCCTCCTCTTCCTTGAGTGACAGCTCCATCTTCTTCCTATGATACCGCCTCCAGGCTGCCTGTATAAAGCAAGCCGCCCAAGTCCTCCATTGTTGGGAATAAAATCTGAAAGTGTGACGAAGTTGCTTGCTGTGAAGTCTTCTGAATTGAGAGGCCACAAATTTCAAGTCTTCAGCCATTAAAGCAAAAGCTTCAACTTCTGTGAGGGTCTGGACTGTTCGAGTTGAAAGAGGCAAGTTGGATGATGGGCTAGGGTCTAGGGCCCAGGTGAGTAGTTCCTCACCACAGAAATCACCAGCTTTCAAATATTCAGAATTGAAAAACCCTGTTCGTCCACCATTAGTAGTTATAGTTAGCAGTTTGCCACGCATAACAAAGACCATTGCATCCACCGGATCTCCTTCCCGGATGACATAGCTATCTTCTGTATAAAGCACTGGCTTGAGAAAGTCACACATTGCATCCAGCAGCTGATCGTCCATTTTCTCAAACATTGGAACCTAGAAGGCAATAGCAAAGAATGAGATCTCTACATTTGATTTACTTTTTATTATCCACCAAAAATTTTCCCACCCACCCTCTTGCAACTGTCTCTCCTACTCCACTACCCCCTAACACAGCCTACCTGAGTCCCTTGCCCTCTCCTCGACTCTCCACTCCCCATCCTTCCCCTACTTCGCAGTAGAGGGAGTTCGAGAAGAGGAAATGCACTATGGTGGAAAACCAGAGGGGGAGGCAATAAGGCAAAGACCGAGAGGAGGCTGAGGAAAGAGAGTGTTGATAATGGGGATGTGGGGGTACTACGGAAGAAAAAGGGTCAAAAGCAAAACATAAGCATTTATTTGGCAATTCAGTTTATTTTCATAATTCGCAAGTATGTCTTTCCTGACATTTCATATTTATTATTCGGTATGAAAGAGCAACAAGGGAACTCACTCTAGTAACCAGATCCAAGCAAAGGTGACGCTTAATGTCCCTCCGTAAATCCTTTGGAAGGTTCTGGATTAACCTCTCTTCATCCACACCTCTTGTTTCTTGCCACTTGTATTGTTCATACCGCCTGATTCTATCCCTTAAATCCTGAGGGAGAAGACGGTGTGACATCCACTGCTCTGCATCTCGTTTTTTCACTCTCATTTCCTCCAGTCGTGTTGTTATGGATTGCAAATATGTCTGTCATACCATTAAGTAATATTAAAACATTTCTGAAGACAAATGTCCAACATAACTACGAAGCAAAATGCACTACGACTTAGAAAGCTTTGCATATAAAGTTGAGGCACTTCAGCACAATCGATGGAGGGAGTTCTCAAGTTAGTTGGCTTTTATGTCCACTATCAACTTTGCCAATGAACAAAAAAAAGAAAAAGAAATGTTCAAAACCCACCTGCATATTTCCAATAAGAAATGCAAACAGCACCAGACCAGCAATGGCAATCAAAATGGCAAAGCAATTCTCCCAGATATAGGTACTTGTTTGAAGGTTTTGACCAAGTGAGCTGCAAATGGGAAAAATCAAACAATGTCAACATAGCCAGGATAACAATGCTCAAAACAAATATTTTTCTTCGGAAAAAGCGTAGTCCAAATATAAGGATATCAAGAAAAATATTTGTGCTAACCTCAAATTTTGTAGGCCCCACCAGAAACAGAATAAGAATTTCTTTGGGAAATCCTTTGTCTCCACTACACCAGATGTAAGGGCATTAAGAAACATTCCAAAATCAAAGGGACCTGGTTTAACAGGGTCGATAGAGCAGTACTCATTCACATAAGTGTTATTTCCAGAACCCACGCCACAATATAATGAACCAATATCACAATGAGATAGTTGGAGCGTTCTACAGGCTTTTCTCCAGCAAGTAGTTTCCCGTTCAATAGAAAATAAGTACCAAAAAGCTCCAACTACCTAATGAGAATCAGCAAAGATAGAGGATTAGAAATGAAACATGAAACATTATTTAGGAAATAAGCTAATATAAACTAAAAGGAACATCAAAGAGAAGAAAACCACGTGATTATCCCAAGTCCAAACCCATTTGAAAAGCATAGGTGTCAAAAAGAAGGGGAAAAAACCTATAAAGCCATGTTCAGTATTGCTGCCATTTTGGTTTTGAAATTTCAAATTGTATAGCAAGTTCTATAGTGAACATTAAAAAGGGCCATAAATACCAATTATGTTAAAATTGAAAACTTAAAACCACATTTCCTAGTTTCCAAACACACTTTAGTTTCAAAAAAGTAAAAGAAATTTTCAAATACTAACAAACCAGCCCAAAACATGCATTACTGTCTAGTGGTAGTCTAAAAAGACTATAATCCATAATCATCAAATGTGGAGAATCTGATGATACCAAGTGGAAGACAAAAAACAATCAACAAAGTATTTAACACAAGAAATGTGTCAACATCTATATCATAGAGAAACTCATTCAAACAAACAACATGTAAAACCAAAGAGGTTCATTGTATATGCAAAATGAAACACCATTCAAAAAGAACTTATATATTAGATTCACAAATTTCATATACCACCCTTTCTCAATTTAGAAAAGCAGAACAAAATGTAAACAAGTAGAAGTTGTAGTGTAGTTTCTCACTCACATGACTTGCGAGCATGTAAAGCAAGAGATTAAAGGCCGCACTAGCCCATGCTGTTTCAGTCAAGATGCCAGAGGTTCTAGTAACTTCTTTGTATAAGGGGAAAACTCTAAGAATCCTTGGAACATACTGAAACACTACAATAAACTTTAGCAAGTTTTTTGTGTTTGCTGATCTGAAGCCTCCTAATTTGGGTATGATAATTAAGATTGCCGCCTGCAAATAATAGTATAAGTGCAACAATTAACCAACCAAATAAAATAAGACATTAAAAAAAATACTCTGTCGGCCCATAAATAACAAACCACAAATCAATCTATTTTAGGCATTCCCAAAATACGTCCACTTTCAAAATTTAGATAGTTAAACATAAATTTCCATCTACCCTTAAATACAGCCTTACAAACAATTTTGAAGAAAGATAACAATAAAAAGGTAGACATAAATAATTTACTAAGTATAGTAATGGATTTTTAAACTCATACTTTACAAGGACAGCGGGAACAAAAATAACTTAAAACCAACTTCCTATAAAGTCACTTAAGAACGATATGTTCTCTAGCAATTACCGCATGAGTAACTAATAATTGCATGGGAGGAACAAGTTTAGACTGAAATACACAGAAGCATAAATTTCATCCAAAAAAAAAACATCATCTGACACAATTACTTTCATAATGGAATAAAATTATTTCAGTCAAGCTATTTTCACTACATGTGGAAAGCACAGTCAAACAAATCATTATTTGTTTGTAAGCAAACTGCAATTCATTCAGAATTATCTCTAGGGTTGCGAGTTGCGAGACTTGCGACCAACAAAAAGAGATAGAACCTCCCCATTTCCTATCATTTGTTTCTTCCAATACAGCCAGAACAGCTTAATATAAATCTCTGTAGCACAGTAAATCCTTGAAGATCAAGGACTATAGAGGAAGTATAAAGGAATGAATAAAGGGAAAAATTAACAAAGAAGTATAAAGGAAGATTAACACAAATCACAATCTTAGCAATGGCCAAGCAGAATCCTAAATTTTTTTTTTCGTATATGGTTAGTTTTAAGGAAAAGAAATGCATACCTGTGGTAAGGGAAGTACAGCAAGAATGTCAATCCAGAAGTACGAAGAAAGATATCTTTTTGCAATTGCCTTAGCATCTTCAACTAAAACCCCTCTGCCAAATACCCGAGAAGAGGGAGCAATAAAACCAGTTCGAAATTGAAAGATGATATGAAGCAAGTAAAAAATATCAGTGAAGGACCGCAAAACGCTGGCTGTTATCTCTAACTTATGGTCCAAATCCAGGCATTTTTTCTCATCATTAACAACAGGGATGTAGAAGAATAAAGGATCTATTGATACTGCAATAAAACAGGATAATACAAATATCTTATTCCATCTCTGAAGAAAGGCGCCTTGTGGGTCTAGCACTTTCTTTTT